GCGAGCCGCCGGCGTGGAGGCGGCGACGGTCCCCGCCTGGGTGTGCCGCTGCCGGCGCCTGAGGTTGGGTGACGGTCGCCTGAAGGCGGCGGTAGCGCCCCCCGCCCCCCTCCTCCCTCGCGCCTCAGGTAACGGCCGTGGATGCGAGGACACCGCGAGGTTCCCGCCGCTTTCCTCATCTCCCGGCGTGGGAGGGTCGGGACTGAGATGAGGCGCCTCTCCCGCTGTTCTTGGTTCACTTCGGTAACCGTCTGTGTCCCGTCCGCTCTAGCCTGACGCGAAATCCCTCTCCCCGCTGCACCTGAGTAACGCGGGGGCTCCCCTCCCGCCGACCGGTACTGCCACCTCGTGTGGAGAAGGGCAGTTTGTGACCTGTGCGGAATCCTATGTTTGGAGCTCCAAATATTTCCAGTTAACCCTTCAGTTGCTCTGGCCGTTCGCCATTCCTATCGCTCCTGCGGTCCCGTCTCCTCCACATGTATCCGTGTATAAAGCAGAAATTTACTTACTACCCCCAAGTTAGTATTTTCTCACGTCTGCTTCAGAATTAGCTTAATTTGAATGGGTTGACATTGAATGTTAATATTCTGGAGTCTTTGCTTACATTTATTGGATGGGAAGATGCACAGTCACACCTTTAGGTCTTCTCACCTTAATGTTAAGAAAATCCCTTCAGTTTTCATTCCTCAATTACATAGTGACTTTGTCCCCATGATAAAGTTGTAGCAGTCCAACTAAATGCCAGGAGGTTAAGGTACGCATGCCGAAATGTGCAAATGGTGCGTGTCAATTCATATTGCAGCTTAAACCTGGCTAGTTTAAGTTGGTTGCTTAAGGATTTTTGAAATTAAAATGAGGTAGACTACTTGAGATGAAAACAGCTATGAGCACACATAAGTGTACGTAGTCTTATTGAAACCTCCTTAACAACTGATTTAAAACAAATGATTACAATTTTCTTGTTTAGTCAAAGAGCTAAAGTTAGTGTCTTAATTAGATCCTTTTTGAATGTTGTCAGTCAGACAACATTCCATGTTGTCCATGTGCATCACTTCAGCCATGGACTTTTCATCTCCAGCAGTACCCATAAATTATGTGTGCTTGTTCTCTCAATCTTCTTGCATGCTTTGCACATACAGTATAGGTGGTCAGAATATGCCTCAAATCTCAGTTCTTCTCAATAGTTGGCTTGAATCTGAATAGAATAGAATAGAATAGAATAGAATAGAATAGAATAG